ACCCTCCTGGAACTATTATGTGAGCAAGAAAGAGATTCCTATTGTGTTAGGTGTCTGAGTTGTTTGCTACAACAGTTAGTCTACCCTACCAAAGCATGAACCCAAACTACCTCCAAGATACTATGATACAGAGTATGCACAGGATGACATGGGATACCCAAAAGAGGCAGCTCACCTGGGCTGGAGGTGGATATCAGGCAGGGCTCCCCAGAAGAAGAAACACTTAAGATGAATCTCGAAGGACAGTGTGAGACAGTGAAGAAGGGAATAGAAGGTTGCAGAGGAGAAAGCATTTGCAAAGTCGTGAAACCTGGAGGAAATGGGGTGCACTGGGGCGGCCTTAGTGATTCCTGACTAGTAGAGTGTGGAGTGATGTTGGGAGGTGGAGGTGCTCAATATGCATTGGCTGAAATGACTGATAAAGAGCAGAAGCTAGGAGATATCGTAGCTCCTAGAAATGATGGATAAGGGAAGAGGAAAAAAAGTAATCAAGGACCATCTAATTTATAAGGCAGAACAGATGGCATTCTCTTCACTGAGATAGAAAATGCAGGAGAAAGAGGTGAAAGAATGAGTTCAATTTTGAAAAAAAAGGAAGAGAAGAGAAAAGAAAGGAAAAGAAAAGAAAAGAAAAGAAACTGAGATAGCTATGGAACACCCAAAAGATAAATCGGCAGGTAGTTAGATGTATGGACCTAGAGCTCAGGCAGTGGACAGAAGAGGTGGGTTTGGAAAGGGTCACCATGCTTAGGGCTGAAGTCATAAGCTCAGGTAGAATATTAACAGTGAGAAGCCAGAGAAACAGGGAAGAAAAGGGAAAGTGGGAAAGAGGGAAAGAGCGGGAGCTAGAGAAAGAGAGATTATGTGAAAGAAGTCATAGAAGCCAAGGAGAAGAGATTGAAAAAGCAATCAATAATAAGGAATACTTCAGAGTGGTGAAATAAGATGATGGCCTGAAAAATGTCCATTATATTCAACTAGGCAGCTATCTGTGACCTTAACAACTTCCATTTCAGTATCTGGAAGAGCCAGGTTAAAGTGAACTGGTGAGTGAATGAGGGATGAAAAATTGCAGATAGGAATATAGAACACTCTTTAAGGAAAATTGGCTCTAAAAAACAAATTAGCCTGAAGTGAACAAAGAGACAGTTTGTTTCGCTTTGGTTTTCATTTTTCAAGATGTAAGACTTAAACATGTTAACATGCTGAATTCTCTGAACTTTTCTGTCTTTATCTTAAAATGGGGATAATAATGCCCCTTCTCCTTGGTCCATTGGATTGTTGTCAGAACAAATAAGATGACGAATGTGAAAGATTCTAAAGTACTATGTAAAGAGCAATGTTATTTTGTATTCATAAATGCTGAAAATATGGAGTTATAAAAGTTAAGGGTCCACTGAAATATGTCTGGCTATCAAATCAATGAAAAAATTATAATCAGTCTGGATCTATAAATATTAAGAAAAATGTCTTGAATGCACACTACATGTTGGCAACCCTAAATCTTAGAGGCTAACGACAGATTTCTAAGTCCTTTGCTGCACGAAATTCTTCTGGTGCTCCTAGGTTAGAGCCTGGGCTTCCAGATGTCTTCATTATACCAGGAAAAAAATGTCAATGAACCCTGGCAGATTGCTGTGCATTAAGTCATCTGGGACTTTATTAGTCTTATGAGTAGTAGTTGTTAAATAAATATTTCTGGCATTCACCCAGTTTCACAAAGCAAGAGTAGCTCCATAATTTAGATCTCAGGACCAGTGAAATCATGGTGAATGGCCACAGGTTGCTGACTGTGTTATTCTAAGGGGTGATTGAGGTATTCTGGGAAGTAAGCTAGCCATTTCAGGACTTCCCTCCTGGGAAAAGTAACCATCCAAAAGAATATGGTCCAATCATTATTTCACTAGTCACCAAAACTTTAAAGACTCTACAAAGAGCATTATTTTTGGCACTGCGACATCAGTGTAACTAGGTTTTCTCTCATAAAACTTCTAACAAGTGGTTTTAGCATGCCCCATCTTCCTCCCCTGGGATGATACCTTATCCCCATAAAAGAAAAATGTCCCTTTCCTTTTCTCTGCCCTTTTGGACAACTCCTCTGACTGGGTTTCCTAGTTGCTGATGTGCCCTCAGTTATTTTTAAGGGCATAGGGTGCTAATTATTTAAGGTCAAGCAGCTGTGACTCCAGCTCCAAAGAGCAATTGTGCAGAATAAAGAATGCTTCCTTTACAAAGATATTAAAGATCTAGTCTTGAGACTCAAATAAACCCTACTTGCAATTATTTTTACATTTTTTTTTTTATCTTAGAGAGACCAGGCCACAACACTAAAACGGTGCTTCTTTTTTTATTTATTTATTTATTTATTTATTTTTGGCTGTGTTGGGTCTTCGTTTCTGTGCGAGGGCTTTCTCTAGTTGTGGCAAGTGGGGGCCACTCTTCATCGCGGTGCGCGGGACTCTCACTGTCGCGGCCTCTCTTGTTGCAGAGCACAGGCTCCAGACGCGCAGGCTCAGTAGTTGTGGCTCACGGGCCCAGTCGCTCCGCGGCATGTGGGATCTTCCCAGACCAGGGCTCGAACCCGTGTCCCCTGCATTGGCAGGCAGACTCTCAACCACTGCGCCACCAGGGAAGCCCAAACGGTGCTTCTTTTATCCATGTTTCTCAAATATTTTATCCTTGATATGTGACACTACGATATGTAGCTATTAAACTAGGCCCAATGTCTGCAGGTCAATTTTTGGACTTTTTAACCACTGCAATGCCGAATTTCCTCCTACAACTGAGGATCAATAAAGCATGTTGCAATTACCTCAATCAGAAATACAAAGAAAAAGACAAAACTTATGCTGCCCTCAAAATAGACCTTCATAAATATCAAGTATCTCTCATAAGTTTACCTCATTCAATCATAAAATAATTTTGTAAATGTATTATTGTTAATTATCACCAATTAATAGAGAAGAATGCTGAGGTGCAAAGAGTTTTAAGAACATTCCCAAGATGGTATGAGATTAACAGATACAAACTACTATGTATAAAATAAATATGGAACAAGAGTATATTGTATAGCACAGGGAATTACAGCCATTATCTTGAAATAATTTATAATGGAGTGTAATCTGCAAAAATACTGAATCACTGTGCTGTACACATGAAACTAATATAATATTGTAAATCAACTATACTGCAATAAAAAAAAAGAAGAACATTCCCAAGGCCTCACGGTTCTCCAGAAGCAGAAGCAGGTGTACATCCAAGATCCTCTGCTGCCTCAACTCTTTCCACTACACCATAGACGGCCCCTATCATGTAACCTGCTTTATTTGTATTTCACTTCTCTGGCAAGAATGGAAAAAAGCCTGGCTGCCTCTGAAGTCTTTAGGAATCTTTGATGAAATGCAGACATGAATTCAGTTCTCCCTCCAATGAAAATATATAAAATACACTGGTTATATATAGAATGTTATGGGATCATCGTGGATGTGGGAAGCTTTGTAAAGGAATGCACAAATGATGCTTGGAATCCTGAAAAGGCCAAAAAAGATATTACAAACAAATGAACAAATGTAGAATGGGGGGAAAGTTCCGTGAACAATCAGTATTTTCTTTTGACTGCTTTGTTTTTATTTCAAAAGGGCTTCTCTTTGATGGAAATCCCTGGTTTTTGAAAGCACTTCAAATGAACATAAGGACCAACCTGTAGATGGAGAAGGAAGCCACCGATCGAATGAGGGATGCCAAAGCCCCCACTTTGGCAGCTTCCACCGCCCCCTGGACGCGGTATTGCACTGCCCTCGAGTAGTTGGTATAAGGTTGATTGTAAACGACAATCTTCCCTCTTGCTTCTGGGGCCCTTCTCCGCAGTTCGTCGAAAGAGGTCACCACCAGAACTTCTGCTGTAATGCCTACAAATAAAAGTCATACAAGGTTAACATATGGTTTCCGATCAGCCAGGGTGAATTGGCACACAAAAGGTCACACATGTTCTATCCACTACATCTGGCAAACTGGTTTGCAAAGATCAAAGTTTCAGAGCCATTTGCTATGGGAGAAAGATTCTGGGGCTTAGCCAGTTTCCCAAGAAAGAGAAAAGGCATTCAAAAAATACACGACTCATAAGGTTTCTCAACTCACTTGGCCAGCTGCTATTAAATCACAAATTGCTTGAAAAGATGTCTTTTTTTGCCTCTTTCCCACAGAATGACAGCAATTATTTATTTTAAAAAATGCATTTTAGAAAGCTCCCCTTGGGTTTAATGAAACATATTTATCTTTTCATAAAACTATTTTGATATGTTGCTAAACAACCTTCACTGGCATCATACAAAGGATGGCAGTTTATAAAGAATGTTCTTAGAAGCCAGTGATCTTCATAAATCCAACTTTGAACAAATGGTTAATGTAACCCTTCTCAAGAGCCACAAAAAGTCAGCTTGTTTTCTTTTCTTCCTTGTACCAAACCCTTTTAAAGAATGTGGAAACTTCCCATGCCTCTCACTTTATAGTACTTGTTTATCGCCAAACCTATCACTATTCTTCAGATAAAAATTCTGAAGATGTTGTATAATTGTCCTATAATCCTGTTGTCTCACTTAGAAAGATGTGGCATGTTTCCTCATACCACAAGACTTTCCCAGATCTTCCTGATTAGGGGACAGGATTTCACAGCTTGCACGAAGTCATTCAAAAACTGCCAGACCACTGAAGATTCAATTTGATGGAGTAGTTAGTGTGACAAGAAAAAAATATTTAGCAGCAAAGGCCAGATGCAGTAGCTAAATATAACGATCTAAAATAAAGTGCCAGGCACCTACTGTTTTATGGCTTTAGCCATGCAGTCGTGAAATATGTCAGTAAAACCCAAGTATCAACATAGATTTGGCATACTTCTTTAATTTTGAAAACTAGAGAACTGGGTTCTTCTGGAAGCTTAACACATGTCATTAAAATAGTAACTGTTACTTGGAAAATCCTTTTAAAATGCACTGCAGATATGAGAGAATTCTTGCTTTCAATATGGACCCCATCACAATGGATTCTTTGGGCTGGCTCCTCTCCAACTTCCACCATCCGGACTGAATTTGTACTTTCACTTTAATGTGATTGACTACAGATCCGTAAGCATGTCTCCACCAACATTCGGAACTCAGAATTTAATTTATAATCTAAAGAAAGCAATGTACAATTATGAAAAGTAAGGACGCCACTAGCTTTTTCACATGATAAATATGTGTAAAAATACAAATAAGGGTTCAGCTAGACAGATTTTGAGATTCATAACTTTCTGAAACCTGGAGTTACCTTGAAATTTGACTGGTGTTATTGTTGGCATAGCACAGGAATTTTGTTGATGGTTTTCAGCTGTTCCTAATGAATAACAGATTCAATGGTCCACCCAAGGGGTATCCCAGCAATAGGGTAATTTTGGCATCTGGATTGGAGCCACTAGAAATGAAGCCAAATTTCTATAAATTTTCATAGGCCACTGCAAAATTAAAGTCATACAAGGGTAGAGCTTCACTATAGTTTGTGGTTCAAGTTCTTTTAACAAATGTGAGTGATGGAGTCCTAAAACCTAACCTAGACACCAGCTGCCAATGCAAAACACTAGTAGCAGCTATAGGTCAAAACCTATCACCATGAACTTGGAAGAAGTGTTCAAATTAATCTGTTTTCCTGAAAGCTTAGCGTCATCTCTGATTCCTCTGTCTCCTTCATCCTCCAGATCTCATCAGTCCTCAAATACTGATAATCTTACCCCTTAAGTGTTGATGGAAAGCAGGTCCTCTACCCTACCACAGTAACGCCCTCTGACATCAGGCCCTGGTTATCTCTCTGTTGGACCTGCTAGGAATTCCTCCTCCTCTACCCACCACCACCAGTGTCCCAGCCTCCAGCCCAACTCCCTCAAATTTAACTGCCACAGAGCTGCCAGGGTGAACAGCTTGAACTGCTGAAAAGTCAGATGAGCCGGTGTCACCATCCGCCTGCCCCCTGCCCCCTCTGCTGATTACCTATCACTTCAACATACCAGTCAAAGCCTATCTATCTCTATAGACACAGGTTCCCTTTTATTTTAAATCCTATCAATACTAGACTTAAAAGTTCCCACTTGCACCACGCCAGTCCACTTCTCCCCATCTTTGTTCATGCTATGGTACATCATGTCTTGTTGACCCCATTCTCCTAACTTTGTCATGTGACTAACACCTATTTATCCCTCAGGATGCCATTTAAGAATCACTCCCTCCAACTCTACTCCATATTCTGTAATAACCTATATGGGAAAAGAATCTAAAAAAGAAAGAATACATGCAGATGTATAACTGATTCACTTTGCTGTACGCCTGAAACTAATGTAACATTATAAATCAAGTATACTCCAATTAAAAATAAAAATAAAAGAAATAGACGGAAAAAAAAAAAAGAATCATTACTTTAGGGAGCGTTCCCAAGGCCTCTGGCCTCTTGTCTCATCCCCCTCCCTCCACCTCCAGGAAGGCTGGTTCATGCACCACTCTCCTCTGGACTTTCAGAGGAAAGTTCATACCTGGGCACTAGATGATGAAACGGTTTATTTATGCCTCTCTCTACCACCTAAGCTGTGAACTCCTCAGGGTTTGGGGCCATGTTCACTTTTGTTTGTATCTCCTGGGCCTAGCATAGTGCTTGGTATATGTGTAGGAAGTCAGTCAATAAACTTTCCTTAAATGGCACTGCTCCAAACAAGGGACCACTGACTGGGCCTAAAGCATTTCCACAAAAGTGCAATTTACCTTTAAAGTTTGATAGCGCTTCTCCCACAGTAACTCAAGAGTCTGACTCCCTGACCACCCAGAGCACAGCTGCACCAGAATAACCAAGCAAAAAAGGTCCTGGGGCAGTCAGAATAGAAATATAAATTCCAAGTACGGAAACTCAGATACCTGAACATAAGAAAGCTCTTCTGCTCTTAGAGCCTAGTTACCCTTACTTTATATAAAATTCTAAATCTAGTGCTTAAACCTATGAACTATAAGAGACAACAAATCAAAAAGAAGAGATAGGTTTGGAAGCTGATAGCAGTACCACAAAAAACAATGTCAGAGACAGGAACATGAAACATAACAAATACATACTTACAGACTTCTTTGCAATGTCGGAAATGTTCTGTATCTGGGCTAACACAGTAGCCATTAGACACATGTGGCTACTGAACACCTGAAATGTGACTAATGTGACTCAGAAACTGAATTTTTAATGTCATTTATTTTAATTAATTTATATTTAAATTTAAATAGCCATATGTACATAGTGGCTGCTATGTAGAACTCACAATCACTGCAGGTTCAGCCATTATCGTAGGCAAGTAGGCAAAAGCATCTCTGCTGGCCCTGAGGGACTTGCTTCACAACAGTTCAGTAATAGAAGTGGCAGTCACAGACCAGGTGGACTATATTCAGTACCCATTGTTTGGGAAGGCAGGGTGTGTACAAAATACTTAAGGAAGATTTTTGCTCAAATTTGAATAAAATAAAACCAGGCCATCTGGAAAACTTCACTCTTCCATGTTAGTTTGTGTTTCGACACATTTTACACAAGGGAAATGCTTCTGCTCTCCTACAAGTCAGCAGGCTCCTATTCTTTTCTGTCCTCTCATCTCCCTTTTTCCAATGCCCCCCTTCCAAAAGCTAGTATATGAAAACCTCAAAGAACACAAAACCAGTATCAGATGCCCCGACCTCCTTATTAATAATTATAACCCACTCCCAACCCCCATCCCTCTTTTCTGGCTTAATTTTTCAATATCAATTATCAGCTTCCAGCTGCATCCACTAAAGTAATGTAAGCTCCATGGGGGGTGAAAATTCTTGTCTGTTTTATTCATTAATGTTATCAAAGTGCCTGAAGTGGTGCCCGACATGTAATATGTGAAATTCACTCACACACACTTATAGGCACAAATACACACAAGTACACATGCATATACTGAATGAATAAAAAGAAACCCAAAATAAAAGTATAATAATACCCCATCCCTACTCACTTCCCAAAAATGTATACTTCCAAGGAACTTGGATATTTCTGTAGGTCAGCATAATTGATAATAATAATAGCCATATTTGAATATCTAATGTTTATACTTGTGTCCACAGCAACTCTGCAAAGTAGTTATCAGGAAGGCACTGAAGTGCATAGAAGTAAGTTTACATAACTATGAGGTGCTGAAACTGAGAGTTGTTGGTCGTCTGAACCCAAGGATCACGTTCCTCCTATTAACTGCATTGCTATCTTCTTTCACAGATGTAAAATATATCTACAGAAAAGCTCAGGACTTTCATTTTAAGAGGAATAAGAAGAAACGTAAATAAGTATACAAAAGCCTGCCTAAGTTTTCAGTTATTTTTTCTCAGTCTACTCAGGGTCTTGCTCGTAAATCAGAGCGTTGTTATCACACTAGGTCCCAATCTACTCATAGGGGAGTTTGGAAGGGATGCTTCGCTCTAAGACAAGAGTCATCAGACTTTTAGAGTAATGAAAAGGATTATGGCAGTTCATTCTGAAGAAAATGTAAGACTGAGCTATAAATATTCATATTATAAAGTGACTCTCTTGGCTACAGCTGATTATATCACAAAAATAGTATAAAAATTCTCAGGTTCCCTTCTATTCTCCACACCTAATTTTCAAAATTGGCCAATTTGTTTTTTTTAAACGACTTACCCTGTGCAACAGATGCTGACTGCTGTGGTGTTGGCTCGGATATTTACTCTGTGGAGAATTTGATACGCAGACTCTAATCTCAGTCTCTTCTGACCTGACTCCTCCCAAGAACAGTTAAGAACAGGAAGACAGTGAAGTGAGAATTTTATAATGTTTTCTACTGTTAAAAGACTACAGACAGAAAAACATGTCTCTGGGGCTC